CCCCCCCCCCCCCCCCCCCCTTCTTCTATCTCTTTCTTTCTTTCTCCTTCCGTGAATCGGAGAACAGTCGATATGATGTGCCGGGTTTCATTTTAATTATTAATTTCTCCTTCTCACCATTTCTGAGTACTTTTTCCTTTTCGCTATTGCTTTGCTGCTATAGGCTTTGCTCTTTATAAGCTTATTATTTATTATTATTTACATGAAAAAACAAAGTAGGCGTATTAACCAGAAAGGGAGTAACCAAATGCATTCTGGCTGAAGGGAACAGAATTTCTGGTTCTTATGACCCAAATGTGATTCTTATAATCTCGGAAATTCTGTTTCCTCCAATCAAAATGCATTTAATTGTTAACTTTCTGGTTAATACAACCAGATTTTTCTTCCGTGTAGGTAATAGTAAATAATAGACATGGAGAATGGCTTTATGGAGAACAAAAATTTATAATAGGACAAATTTAGTTAATATAACTAAATATTTTTTTCGTTATATTATTAATATTCGTTATATTATTAAATTTCGTGTATTATTAATATATTATATTTTCTTTATTACATTCTAACTGCCTTGCATTGCTGTTGCTTTTTTTTCTGACTGCACGCTCTGTACTGGCCTTTCAGCCGAAATTGCTTTATGTATGCCTAAGAGGATATTTGTATTCTATGGGATAATAAAACTATCCATCTTTCTGTCTATCTGTCTATCTATCTTCTCTCTCTCTCTCTCTCTCTCCTCCCAAAACTCTCGGGTGGTTTCTCGTTTTCGCATTTACAGATCATTGAGTGCGTATCAATCGTATCGGCACAGTCGCGCATCCCTCCTCCCTTCCTCGGCTAACGGATTCCTCAGCGAGAATCCAACGGCAACCATTTCCCGCAACCAGACTTTGAGTGTGTAACAAATTCGTCGTTGCCGCGCAGCGGTAGTGTTCATTTTTTTTTCAATATCGCTTCAGATTTTCGCAATATACTTCTCACGTATCGTTCCGGTATGTTTCTCTCTCGACTGACGAGACACGTGTCCGCATAGGCTTGCAGATATTTTGTTACTCCTCAGACGAAGAAGTCGCAATATAAACTGCGCGAAAAATACGCGGAAAAAATGGCATTACAACACGCATTACTGTCGGTCGTACGCTGCGTTATATAAACTCCCGACTTTAGAGCGCGCTCTCCCTCGAAACGACGTTTTTCCGAACTGCGGTCGCGATATCTCACGTACTCCGGGCGGGATTGTAATTTGAAGAGAACGTTTCGAACGCCACTTCTTTCTCCGCGGCGCGAACGTTAGCAAGAAGAACGCGCGCAATAGTTGCCCGCCGACAACAACGTAAGAACCATTTTTCACGGTTTTCCACTTTTAAATTTCATCGCCGTCATTTCGCCGATTTCTTCTTTTCCGGTTTAATTTCCGCGGTCCGCGCGAAGTTACCAACACGCACACCGATAATACACTGCGAACTATTGTTTGGTCCATCGGCTCGTTCCGACGCGGTATTTACCCATGAAAAATGTCAACGCTTTAATGGGCAATAACATCGACATTTTTTTAATACCTCTTCGCTCGTTTTTTTTTCCTTTCTTTCAAATAAACAACAGTATCAGCACCGCAATGTACATGAAAAATATCCCGCTTTTTGTCATTTTTTTTTTTACGCACGATTCGTCCCGGTAAAGTGTGCGTGTTTATTTTCATCCCTCCAAACATCCCTTTCATCTTCTCAGACATATTCTTTTAAATTTTTAATTAAAATATGTTCACTGTGAGAGAACTTTTCCATTTGTTTCTAAAGCTTGCGTCGCCCGAAATTCTTCGGTTTTCAGTTTTCGGAAAAATGTAGGATTTGTGAATGTGCATTTAAGTACGAAGAATCAAAAAGAAAAAGAGAGAGAAAGAGAGAGAGAGAGAGAGAGAGAGAAGGAGAAAGTCTATTAGAGATATGATTAACGGCGCTGTTTTCTGTTCACAGTGCATCGCTATTTCCGGCCTCGGTTTCCGCCGCGGTAGCTATCGATGTGTTTGCAAACGAGGCTTTTACTATCCGGATACGAAATCAGACAAGAGATACTACAACGGCACCGTCATCGAGGAAGAATATGAGAAATTAATGATGGTGAGTTGTCCGGAGGCAAACTAAACATGCAACGAAAAGTTCCTTCCTTTGCTTTACGCATACTCGTTTTCGCTCCGCGAAAGGATTCATGTTCTGTTCGGTGATACTAAATCTTCCCCACGGAGCTTTTCCCCGCGACGCACACAGATAGGAACCACCTTGTTATGGAAATGGAGAAATTATGTTGTTACGATGTACAGGACATTTCGCTCCGAGCTCATCAAATTTCAATATACGCGTCCGCGGCTTTAATAACAGTTTCTTTGACAAATTTGGAGTTTTTCCTTTTAGTTAAGAACCACGTGAAGTTGGTCAAAGAATCCGTTAAAATTTAACCGGGTGACAGTGGGAATACTTTGTACACCGTCGGCTATCCATTTGCATACACTTAGGGAAAATTGAGAGTTCTCAGTTAAAGAATAATTTAGGACTTCCTGTGTGCTTGAATAATTTTCCCCGATATAAATTTATCTTCGGTTTGAATTGAGACGGAAGGCTGAAGTTACGACAATCTCTCACTTAGTTAATTGCCGACACACATTTATCGTTAAAAATCCGTTTTTAATTATATCGAAGTACTTATAATTTAAATACTTGCAGATCAACGACGTGCATGATTAAATTGTAGATAAAGAGAGAAACGATATCATTATTTATTACTCTAATGATATAATATAATATAATATAATATTATATAATATTTAATATTATATAATATATAACGATGTAATAATAATAATAACACAATGATAATGTGTCTTTGGACATCCGTAAGTATAATTGGTTGTTACTTGTTACAATTGATAGAAATGAGAACAGAGTCAAACCGGAATTCACAATTAACGTCTGGTCATCCCTCACTTTTCTCTTCACCGCCTCGACAATTCTCTGTGCTTAAAAAAAAAATAGAATCCCGAAAATGAATGAATCGTTGGGCGAAACTGCAATTAAATCGTTCGTCCGGCTGCAGCGTTTCGCGACGTAACGCGCGTTACCGTGCGTATTCTATTATCACGACGGTGGAACGCCTTTTTTTCCAACGCAGTTTTCACGTCGGGCCAGCCGTCACTTCTGTGCCCGTGGGAGCAAAATGGGTATCGACAGCAAGCGCGATGGCATCTATTGTCACAGAGAGTTACGTATCTTTTGTGATTTGACGGGCATTTCCATCGCGGCTGCGCTGGTAAAACCGTTTTTCCAGTCGCGCCCTTCGGTAGGTAGGTCCGTCGCGTTTGTTGCGCGACGTTCATAATGGATCTCGTCCGCAAATTTCGTTAATAATCAGTCCCGAATATTAACGACGTGTCATCTCTTTCATGGAAACGGTAGACACGTTTTAGTTTTCTTCAGGGCACGAGAGGGAAGGAGAGAGAAAGACAGAAAAGGGAAATCCAGCGGCCACATTTTTATCACGTGCTTTTTTGTGAGACGCCTCTCTCGCCCCGTAAAACAAGCAACGAGCTTTCACTCGTCACGACGTACTTTCGAGTCGATAATCAAAACATTGATTCGATCGATCAAAGAAGGAGCAGTTAAATACTCTTTGCAGATGCTATTAGTTGAACAGAAACTTCCGTGATCGCGAGTCAAGATTTGCTCTGCTCGCAAAATTTGGACAAGTCGGGCCGGGGAAAGGAACTCGACGTGTCAAATATTTTTCTTCGAAGAATAGGAAACTCCTCGTCCCCGTGTTTCGCAGCCTCGATCGGTGACGAATTTCGAGATAACGGGTGTACGGCGCTCTACCAGTTTCCATCTCTTCGCGAAATATAATTTCGCGTTTGTCAACAGGGTGAAAGGAGCCAATATGCCGAGAACGGGGTGTTCGAATGTCTGCCGTGCGCCGAAGGGTGCGAGTCCTGCGAGGACGGCTCGCCTTGTGTGGTATCCCTCAACTGGCTGATGAGAACCGCGATACTGATCTTGGAGTGCTGCATCATCGCCTGCTTGCCAGCCGTCGTTCTTTTCACGTGGAAATACGGCCATGTTAAGGTAGGAACTACAATTCACCCCCCCCCCGCGATAGGGCTTCCTAAAACCACGCAGCTCGTGGCTTTCGATCAATTCCGCGGAATAATACCTATGGCTTCGTGCCGGTCCTTGGAAAAATAGCCTACGCAGTCGGTCTACATGTCATATCGTTTTCATGAATACAACGCCCAGTAGAGTAAAACGCCGTTTATTTTTTTTCGATTACGTCGTTGTATGTATATCACGATAAACGATTTCAGATAGACGTCGGATCGATATCTGGCAGGCATTCTAAAATCTGTTTTCCTTGTTTTACTATTAGGTGCCCGAAAAATGTGCGGATTCTTAGGTCAGAATTGAAACATTTTGAACTTTTTTTAAGGAGTAGTTTTATCTGACGAAGTACGAGTCGAAGTACTCGTAGTCACCGTTGACTTCGATGACCCTTTCCCTCGTCCGGAGCACCTTTTTGCGAGTTTGCACGCACATATCCACGCGGTTCATCATCTTCAATAACAGATGGACATCCCGAACGCGAATGTATCATTCTCTAGCGATTCCATTACCTTCCTTAAATCGCTCAAATCATTTTTGTTCTGTCAGTCCAGATCAGTTTTGTGCCGTTCTTTCGCCAACAGCGCCTTCACCACACACGCCACAAATGCGTTTTGTTGCGTTCGCCGTTGTAATTCCAAGTTTAAACTCATGAAGCAAGAAAGCACGAGTTTGTAACTTTTCTCGCTGTCGATATTTAATCTCATTTAAACGACGGAATGTTGAAACAATTGGAAGCTGCACGTCATGTATATCAACGACGTAAATGTAACTTTCTGCTGATACCAACTTCATGCATTACACGTGCGAATTACTGACTGATATCCGACTTTTCATCCGACAATTCATTGCTAAGAAGGAAACCGCACGAACTTTATCCGATACCTAATAATTGTATCTTCTTGTCTTCTTTTTAATGTGAATAACGATCCTTTTTGGCAATACGAATTTTCCAAGTTGAGAAAACAATGGTAATCAAATATATCGATTTGTATTCTTTAGGGACGATGCTACTGATATTTTCGGATAAAACACAATCTTGTTCGCGCTCGTATAAAGTATTTTAAAAATAATCCCCACACTTTGAAGGTTCGAAGGTTAGGCAAACATCGCGTGATAGGAATCGCTATGAAGACAAATGTGAAAATTCCACTTCCTTCCGAAGTATTCGCGTATATTTGTGTCGCCTACTTCACGTGAGCTACGGCACGAGTACCCGTAAATTTCGAAAATTTTGATGGCTATTAGAGTGTGTCCTAAAAGCATATAAATTTCTAGTTTGCGTGGAAGCGACATAAACTCGCGGTCCGTTACGCCATCGGCGATATCATCACAATATAATGAAGTTGAGACGAGGTTTTAACGATATTGCTCAGAGATATTAGTCAATTTGCGAAGTTAAAATGAGTAAATCGTGTGCATTATCGAATCACCAGATTACATTATTATTATTATAATTATCATTCATTAATTATTTTGCGCGGACAAGCCTCTGCGTTTTATCTCGTGCGTTTGATATGCATGAAACTACTACAATTTGGCAAATCAATTCGTTTTCGCACGAGGACTGTCCTCCGACATTGCAAGAATAACGCAATACTTATCGTCCGTCGTGCGATTTCCATTCTTAGACTTCTCCACTGCTGCGTACCACTGGCGCGATACCGACCGATTCATTTGCATGGGCGGGATAATTGGACGCCATGACAAAAGCACGGAAGTAATCGGTGTTGGTGAATGTCGCATTACAGCTAATCTTAATGGCCGATCGGATAAATCGAGGTTAATGCGTTAATCTTGTACAGCTTAGATTGCAGCCCCCGATATCGCGAGAACGGAAGGCTCTTATCCCAGGTGCAAAGCTCCGTAGATGGTGTACGAGGGTCTCTTTAAACATTATCTGATGTGCGAGTGTCTCCAGCGGCCCAATAATTACGTCACGATAACCACGTATTTTCGTGGGATCGCTTTCGCGCACCGGCATTGAGAATTATTCAAACGACGCGTTCATAACATGTGGGGACATAACTTCGGAAGATTCAATTCGGGACACAAAAATAGCGCAGAAAGTTCATACAAACATTTCGTCCTATCTGACTCTGTTTCCCTACAGTTAAGTTACTCCTGCAATGTAAACGTGGTGTTTTATTTACACGTCTGGATTGTATTTTAATTTTAATAAATATTGGATCCGCAGTTTCGATATCATACTTGGTGAAATAATCAATTAAACTGCTTTATGGCGAGGTCTGCCTGCACGATTTGACATTTACCGAGAGCTATTAAATAGTCAAGTGAATATATTTGAAAAAAAAAATTGCAGCGAAAAATATGCGTATAGCATTTACTTGTTATCGCTGTCAACGTAAAAAGGTACCCTGGCTGCAGAAATAAATCTTATGAGAGGGGAGGGGATAGAAAGAAGGATCTGGAAGTATTTTTAACAACATAACGAAAGATCGTCAGATGATTGAAAGCTGCAAGCATAAATAATAATATTAATATACTTTACGCACCAAATTGATGAGGTCCTAACACTGATCGGCAGATGTTTTAATTATTTCGGCACTTATGCAATTTTAATTCATTCCTTGTGCTCCCCTTAATTCGACGTACGATTCATCCCTATACGCGGATTCACTTAGGTGACCCTAATTTATATATAAAATGAGCGAAGTTCCTATATATTGAGAGAAAGATATCTTCAAATTTAATAAATTTTATTACATATTAAATTTAATAAATTTTATTATAAACAAATTTCATTATTTGCATACTCCAAAAAAAGGATTGTCCCGATTAATAAATACGATTGTTAGACTTTTCAACGAATATGTGTCTTTACCTTAAATGAAAGATTTGAAACGAAAGATAATTTTCTTATAAAGAAATTATTTGTTTCATTTTACATATTTATTGTAACCAAATAATATTTCATTCGGTTAAAAGATATTATATCAAGTAACAGCGTTCTTTCCATTAAATAATAAAGTTTTCTTAAATGGGCCAGTAAAATTTTTACTCAAACAAATAATATTTTGTATATGTCGTTTCTATGAAATAAATTTCGGTACATATATTGAATACGAAATTATTTTCAAATAATTTATCATGGCTTTTCATCCGGGTAATTATCGACGCGTTTTCACACTATGCATACAGTGACGGACATACGGAGACGGATAAAAACTGAGCAATTCGATCGGATGAGCATTCGGGACACGTAATGCTCTCCATTCGATAGATCCGTTTCGCGATTAAAAGATTAAGAGCTTAATTCGAGCCGGGTAATCGAGCTTTCTTACCCGTCACCGGCCGGCCGAATAAAATTGTGTCCGCGTCTGCATTAAGGGCATGATTGCGAGAAATCTCGTCGGTCGCGAGGTGTTAATTAGCTCTTCTGTGCTCCCAAACACCTTTATCCGTCCGGCTGTTCGGCTTGGGTGCGCATGAAATAGCACCTCCACTTTGTCGACAGAGCGCACGCCGCCCTTCGTCTCGTCCGGATATCAAAGAGTAACCCTGGGATCCGGCATTAATTAACGCAATATACGGCGGGGCAAGCATTCCCCGGAATTTTCGCGTGGCTTCAAGTTAGAATTCCGCCGTGCGGAATGGTGGGATTGTGAATTCAACCGGGCTGGAAGTATGAACGGCGAATATATTCGCGAGACGATTTTTTCGTGGTCCCGCTTGAGATCCTCTCGACACTGTCGGCTGACTTTCTCTCGTGAGCCTTCCGGCACACGCCATTTTTCAACGACAACGACAGTCACGCGCGCCATCAGTGAGAAATAAAGAGAAATATTTTTATATATACATATCCTTCACTGACTGTTTATTTTCACGACTTCTTTTTCCAGAATTACGGAATATATCCGACGAGAGAGAGTCGCGGGAGAGCGTTCGTTGCTGTGCGGTACGTACACTCGTGTACTGCGCGGAGCATTCGTAATTCGGGGTTTTGTCGCGTCTTCGAATCGTGTTACTGGGTTAAGGGTTGGAAAAACGTATACATCCCGTGTATACAAAACCTGACCGGCCGGGCGCTTTCAAGGGAGGCTTGCAACGTCGCGAGCGCGAAAAAGCGAAACACAAATGATTCTCACGAGGACGCGCGCTTAATTGAAAGCGGACAGGCGGAAAGAGCCCGGAGAACGCGAGAAACACGGAGGAGGCGCATTTTCGACAATAATTTCGCGGAATTTGCGACGAGCGTGTGCCCATCCCCCTCCTCCTCCCATCCCCGGTGGAATCTCGCACTTCGGGGAAGTAACGACCAGATTTTCGCGGTATACTGTCACGGTAATCCCGAAATTGGTGAGTCGTCGCGCGTCGTGAAATGGGCGTCCCCGCCTCTTGATTCCCCTCGAATGGGATCTCCGAGTCTGGAACACGCGACGTGTCCTGAGAATCCCGTGCATTAAAATCGCGCGTAGCCCTGAGCTCTAAGCTCTCTCATGAAAAACGACTCGATGCGGGGACAGGGGGGACGTGTTGGGTTGATCAAAAAGTTGGATCATTTCCGCCGCCGTTATGTTGGCTCTTCTTTGGCTGAACAGTAAAATCAAGGGAAGGAGAGCGGCTCTTTTTCAAGCAACCTAATACGGTACGGCAAAAAGCAACGGGAACGGTGATCGCGTTAATTAAGCGAGGTTTCGCGATAGAATTGGACAGTGCCGTGAATAACGAGCGACGCTTCCTCTCGTAAAAAATTAATCGCTCGGAAATTTTCCCCGCGAATTATCAAAAACATGCGTGCCGGGACTATCGCGAAATAATTAAAGAGAGGAGGCTAATGATTAAATTAGGGTTGACGTGGCTCGAGTTAACGATGTTTTAATTATTTCGCGATAGTCCCGGCACGCATGTTTTTGATAATTCGCGGNCAAACGGGCGTTGAGGAGCTTTAACGTGAGCAAATTCGGTCACACACACACACGCACACGCACGATGTCGTCCCATGTGCGAGCATCCATATTCCAGTCACGATTTACAAGCTTAATATCGCGGCGTAATCTGTCTTACGAAGTGGCAGACGCTATGTGTATCCAGATAGTGTATCCCAACAACAGTCGTAATAATCGTTCCCGTCGTAACGTGAATTATCTCGAAATCAGAATAATGAAGCCCGCGCGCGCGCGCGGGCTACACTGTATAATACCAGGCTGGTAGAATTCTCGAACTCCATCTAACTTGAAGCTTTTCCAGTAGAGACAGAAATTGTTCCCATTCGGGATCGCCTGACTGAGGAGGATCGATCGCGCGGTACCCTCAACTGGATTCGCCGTTGAGCGGTGAAACAATCGTGCTTCTTGATCGAGGGGCGTCGCATGTGAATCAATCGACCTTCGACGACGTCACTGGGCTGAATCAATACCGCGGATCGCTCATTAACGACGTATCCCGCTGGTGATGTATCAATTACCGTCGCGCCGCTCGCTTGTAACAGATATATATTCCGGGATATTCCGTTTGAGCTCGGACTCAAGTTCGGCAGCCGACAACGAGCACTCGAGTTTGTAAAGTAAGCTGCGCGATCATTTCAGCGCGTGCCGGCGCATGCGTCGTTTAATATGGAGAGTCTGCCGGTTCCCGGCCGATCTCGGAACTTCCCTATTAGAGAATTCAGACTCTTGACGGGCGTTACGACTCTACTCCCGGACGACGCAACCATTCACGACCGACGTAGGAAATTCGTCCGGCATTGCACGCGCAGGCACTTGAAGAAAATTTCACGCTTCGGAGGGTCACGATACGTGCGTCTTCGTCGTCTAAGCAACGATGATGCCTCAGCGACATCGGGGTGGCTGTTCTTCGCTTGAGAGGGTTTATTCTCGCGGATTACTCGTCTATATCGGCGAAGGGGGAGAGTTTCGCAAGCCGGAAGCTCGTCGTCTCTCGAATCGTGCGAATCGCTTCGAACCTCGCGAGCTGGTGCGCCTCAACACTCGTCGTACAAATTACTGAACAGCCTGTGTAATTCTTGGAGGAGGTTAAGAGGGTAGTTTCCAACTTTCTTTCCTTTCCTTTTTTCACCCCCCTACGCTACGTACAAGATACGAGCGCGCGGGCTCGAGAGGGGGATAGATCGCGCCGTGGAAAACGGGGTGGAACGGAAGCAACAAATAAGTCCGTCCCGAGCGCGAATGAAACAGTCGGGACACGCGAACGGGAAATTAGCTCTGCTGTGGGGGACGAACTTTAACTCACTTTATTCGCTATTATTCTCTCCTGATATTCCGCTGCGGCGGATCTTGCGGCGTTTCTCGCGCGCGACCTTTCCTTTTACTTCAGCACACGTTTCTTGCATATCGTATGAAAGTGCGCGCTGAACGAGGGGGGGGGGGGGGGGGCAGGAAAAA